ATCAGAGAAAAGCTCAATCTGAAAAGATCTTTTATTGACAACTACCTGGCCCATCCAAATGGTCGAATCTGGATACTCTGGGATGATACAAAGGTGGACCTAAAACTGAACAACATGTCAAGTCAATATCTCCACTGTGGCATCTACACTGTCACATGTGAGTTCCTGTTTTGGCTAACTTCTATTTATGCTCACAACCAATTGGACATGAGGAGAACACTTTGGAGGAAGATGGAAAATATCCATAATAACCAAGCTGGCCCTTGGTGTGCAATAGGAGACTTCAACAATGTGGTTACTGCTCGGGACAAAATTGGAGGTAAAATGGTGAGTGATTATGAATATGTGGATCTTGCCAGTATGATGAGTAAGACAGACCTTTATGAAATGGACAGTATGGGGGACCACTTCACATGGTCTAATAAGCATGCCAATGGTACAATTTACTCCAGGATTGACAGGGCAATCTGCAATGTTGACTGGTTCCTGCGTTATCCTGAGCATATGCTGAGTATCTTGCCTCCAAATGTTTCTGATCACTCTTTGCTCCACATCAGTGGTCCCACTGATACAAAGAGAAAGAACCACTTTAAATTTAACAACTATCTCATCGACATTAATGGTTTCAAAGAGATGGTGAAGGATTCCTGGGATAAACCAGCGCGTGGGGACCCAATGCAAGTCCTGTGGTACAAGCTCCAAAGGCTAAAGGAAGCTGTCAAGAATTTCAGTAAACAGGTTGGTAACATTAAGAAGAGGTTACTAATAGCCAGGGAGAAGTTGCATAAAGCACAAAATGAACTCAAAAATAATAGGCAGGATAATAGTTTGATCGAGCAGATCAAAACCTTCACTGATGAGATCATAAAACTCCATGAGCATGAAGAGAGTAGGTTAATCCAAAGGGCGAAAATTGACTGGATAAAAAAAGGTGATGGCAATAACAAGTTCTACTTTGCTCATACGAAAGCTAGACACCAAAGGAACTACATCAAGTTCCTGCAGAAAGAGGATGGTGAAGTTATAACAGGGCACAATAATATTGAAAAGGAGATCATGAACTTCTACCTCCATCTGATGGGAGAGAAACCTAGCCAAATCAAGCATATTGATATGGAAGCTATGAGGGAGGGCAGGAAAATTCTGAACGACCAAAAAAGCTTCCTTGTAAGCAATATTTCTGTACAGGAGATTGAAGAAGCACTGAAGAATATTGGCGATAACAAGTCCCCAGGCATTGATGGGTTTACTGCAAAGTTCTTCAAGAGCTGTTGGGATATTCTGAAGCTGGATGTAATTACTCCAGTCAAGGATTTATTCAGATCAAGCACTATTCTAAGTAAGTTTAATAGAACGCTGGTCACCCTGATTCCAAAAGGAGACAATGCTACTGGCATTAAGGACTATCGACCAATTTCTGGATGCACAGTTTTCCTTAAGATCATCTCGAAAATACTTACTACGAGATCGAAGAACATATTGCCGTCCATTGTTAACAAGAACCAGGCTACTTTTGTTTCTGGTCAAGATATCCACAACCATACCCACTTAGCTTATGAACTTGTTACAGGTTATGATAGGAAGAATGGTACCCCAAGATGCATGATTCAAATCGATCTTCAAAAAGCGTATGACATGGTTGACTAGGGAGCATTAGAAAAAGTAATGAAGGAACTGGGCTTCCCTAACAGATTTGTCCTCTGGATTCTCAACCTGGTTTCCACTGTTTCTTATTCCTTTAACATCAATGGAAACATCTCTAATTTTCTGTAGGCAAAAAGAGGTATAAGATAGGGCGACCCTATATCCCCTCTCCTGTTTGTTATTATGATTGAATATCTCGATAGGTGCTTGGTGAAAATGCAAAAGAATTCTGACTTTAACCACCACGCTAAATGCGAAAAGATGGCTTTGACTAACCTTGCTTTTACAGACGATATCCTCCTATTCTGCAGGGGCGATAAGGTATCTGTTGAAATCCTAATGACAACGTTTATGAACTTTTCCCTTTCCACTGGTCTCATCTTTAATCCCAGGAAGTGGAACATTTTCTTTGGCTATGTGGAGTTGGAAGAGAGATCCAGAATTAGTGCTAGTACTGGTTTCGCAGAAGGCAGTTTCCCGGTTCGCTATCTGGGTGTTCCTCTTAGCAGCAAAAATCTAAGCTTACAGCACTACCTCCCCTTGGTTGAGAAAATTACTGGTCGTATCCGCCATTGGTCCACAAAATTGCTTAGCTATGCAGGCCGGACCTAGTTAGTGAATATCATAATCTGTTCAATCGCTCAATACTGGATGCTTAACTTCCCTCTTCCTAAAGTCGTGCTTAAAATGATTGATATTATTTGCAGGACCTTTATCTGGACCGGTAGGAATGATGCAAGTAAAAAGAGCTATGTCGCGTGGAAGAAAATGTGTAAGCCTAGAAAGCAAGAAGGCTTAGGGATAAAAAACCTAACTGTATGGAACCAAGTTGCCTTGCTTAAATGCCTTTGGAATATCTGCAATAAGAGTGATAGCCTTTGGGTCAAATGGATACATAACGTGTACCTGAAAAATTGTGAAGTCATGGATGTTGTTGTGGGGCAGAACTGGACGTGGACAATGAGGAAAATTATGAACCATAGAAGTCTGGTTACTTTAATCCAACAGCATTGGGACCAAATGCTTCTTCAACAGAAGTTTTCCATGAAAGTTGTGTATAACTTGCTGATTGATGACTTGAGCAGGATCACTTGGAGCAACTTACTTATGCATAATTATGCAAGACCTAAGGCCAAATTTACTCTATGGCTTTTGTGTCATGAAAATCTCCCAACTAAGGATAGGCTCTTGCGCTTTGGAATTGTTCAGGAGAGTCTTTGCAATTTGTGTGGCCTGGAGGAAGAAAATGCTAATCATATTTTCTTTGCCTGCTCGAAAACTACTAGTATTTGGGTGGCCATTTTAACATGGCTGGGGATTAACCATAATCCGCTGCACTGGTCGAAAGAATTGAATTGGATTTTGGCTAACACAAAAGGAAAAGGTTGGCGAGCGACTGTGCTTAAAACGGCGTTTACTGAAGCAATTCATGAGACTTGGATTTTCAGAAATTCTATAATTTTTTATAGTACTACGTATAGGAACAACTCAATAGAGAATATCATTGATTGTATAGTGTATATATGTTGGGGAAATAGGAAGATTAGGTCAAATATTGCTAGATTAATGATTTAGCCTTTTTGTAGAGTTTGCTGGCTGAATCTGTTTAAGATTGCCTTGGTTGTTTTTTGCCTTTTGAATTAATATACATCATTTTGGTTAAAAAAAATAAAAAATTATAATAATAATAATAATAATAATAATAATAATAATTATTATTATTATTATAATAATAATAATAATAATTAATATTATAATAATAATAATAATAATAATAATAATAATAATTATAATAATAATAATAATTATTATTATAATTATATAATAATAATAATAATAATAATAATAATAATAATAATAATAATAATAATAATAATAAAAATTATAATTTCTATTTTAAATCAAATTAATGATAAAACTTATTTTAATAATATAATTTTAATGAAGTGACAAAATTATTAAATAAGTGAAATTAATTTTTAGTGCTATATTATTGTTTTGTCTGTCAAATAAAAGACGATCATAAATAAAATATGTAATATGATACAGTAAGATTAAATAGTTGATTTTTTTTAAAAGATTACTAAAAAATTATAAAAATTATAATAAATGGACTAAAACTGAAGTTAAGATTTTCTTCATTTTCTTTCTTCTTCATTTTGTTTATTATCAAAGTTTTAGAAATATAAATATAATAATGTGATATTTGATGATTCATTTATTTTTTATACATTTTAAATATCATCAAAATTATAGTAATAGAGAGGAAAAATAGAGAAGATCTTGACTCCTAAAACTACATTTAAATCTATCTTGTATTGATTGAATGATTTCATTACATTTCATGAGAATGACCATTAGTTATTAAAACAAACTATAGAGTTAATTATTCTTTAACCAATTTTCCTAACCAATCTTATGTATTAAAAAATAGTTATACTATTTTTGGCTATGAAAGATAAATTTTTAATCATAGAAATAGATAAATAAAAAGGAAGTAATAAAGTACAGACTTTTAGGGGGTCCATAGACTGAGTATAGGTTCATAATTGTAGATGGACATGAAAATTGGTACTAGTACACGTCTACGAGATTTCCACCACAAAAAAAATAAAAAATTATACAAGTTTAGTTCCCGTCAGTTAGCCACGTCAGCGCAGGTAAATAAAACAAAACCACTCAGAATACTACAAAAATTAAAATACAAATGTCTGCATGAATAAGTAACTGATCTAATCATTTGAAATAAAATACAATTACAGAAGAAAATAAAAAAGTACAAGTAAAATCGAATTTTAATTCTAGCGCGATACACGCGAACCACGCTGCTCTCCCATGCTTCCAACATCATCACTTCTTGGATGACATGTCTAAAAAAATGAGTATGTACGGATGAGTCTAAAATAAATAAATAAAAAATTATGTTAATGTTTGGACATTCAAAAATAATACGAGACTAGATAGAACCATAAACATTATATATTTTAATTTAAAAATTATAAAAATTTATGTTAATGTGTATATCTAAAAAATAAAGTGAGATAAAGCAGAAATAATAAATATTCGAGTTTAACTTCTTAATTTTTTTCTAAAAAGTGCCGACAAAAAATTATGCCCACAAGCTTTTGCCAGCACTAGTTGTATAGTATTATATAATATTTATGCAAAAACAATTCAATACTAATATACTCTATAACCATGGATACCACAATACTAACTTATCTATGAAGTTTGGTTCATTGTTTTTCTTCAGTTTGTCTTTTTCATTTCTCTTATTCTCTCCTCTCAATTAATTCACAATCTTATCCCATATATATATATATCCACAGTACCTTTCATTTTCTACCACAAAATTAATGGAGGAGTCCGGAGAAAATTGGCCTTGTGATTCTGATTTGGTAAAATGCAATTTCTACTCATTCATCACCAATTATATACTATAGTAGAATATATGTCAATAACTTTATTCTGTTTATTGTTTTGGTTTATAAATAGGAAATTTGTGATGATGATTTTTTTGAAGACGGAGAATCTGAATCGTTTGATGATGAAATTGGAGATTCCACCGACAGAAATGGGAGATATGAGAGGGACCTTAGAGAAAAAATGCTGACACTTTCAGCCATCATACCTGGTTTGAAAAAGGTTGGTATATAACTTGAAAAATTATAACTTTAAACAAATAAGAGGGTATATAACTTGAAAAATTAATCTGTATATATTAAATGTGTTAGATGGACGACACTTCGATCCTAGAAAAAGCTAGACAGTATGTGAAACAACTTCAAGAACGTGTTAAAGAGCTAGAAAAAGATGTTGGATCAAACAATAATTATAGCGACAATTGTGGATCAAGTAATAATATTCTTCCCGATGTGGAAGCAGTAGTGTTACAAAAGCAAGTTCTTATCACAATCCACTGTGAGAAACAAAAGAGTGTTATGCTCAAAATACTTACCCAACTTGAAAATCTTCATCTTTCAGTAGTGAGTAGCAGTGTTTTGCAATTTGGAAAATCCACCCTTGACGTAACCATCGTTGCCCAGGTACATCATGCATATATAGTTTAAATTCAAAATGTTATTTATTCATTGTTCATGAATAAAGTTATTGAGATGATAAAACGAGAATATGATTTGCATTTAATATTAATGCAGATGGGTGATGGATACAACATTAGAGTGGATGAACTAGTGAAAACACTCAGAAGAGTGATCTTGACACAATAGCATGTGATTGTTACGTATGAAACAAGTGTGATACTGATGTAATTCTGTTTACAATTGTTGTGGTAGTTATGTTATCTTATTTACTAGTATTGTAGATCAATTTTTTTATTTTTCTACAAAACATAGATGTTGCTTTTTGAAAGGCCTATCTCCTATTCACTTTTCCAACCAAAAAAGGATCTTGCACCCATTACCGAGCTTGTTACTGATGCTGCAAGAAAAGAATGAGCTCTTGCTTCGCCTCTACTGTCTAATAGAATCATGTCTCTCCACCATATCAAACCTTCCTTAATGTGCGTAATGGGATCCCTTTATAGAAAAAAGTGAGCTAAAAATTTATTGGTGCACAAAAAGTTAAAGATAAAAAAGAAGACGAAAGAAGAGAGAGAAAGAAAGGGTTATACTACAACAATTTGTTGATGAAGAAATTTCATATTAAATTCTTAACTTTCTTACAAAAAAAAATTCTAACTACAAACTTATTTATATACACAAAAATAAATTGTCACGTAGGTTATAACAAAAGTAAACTTAATAGTTAAGTTAATAAAAACTAGAACCGCATAAGTTAAACATATTTTTGGGATGCAACATCAGAAGCTTCTGCTTCTGACTAACACAAATACTTCTGAATATGAATTACTTTTAACACCATCCCTTAATTGTCACGTTTTTGTTAATTTAACTATTAAGTTTATTTTTGTTATGGCCTACGTGACAATTTATTTTTGTGTATATAAATAAGTTTGTATACAAAAAAAACTCTCATTTGCGACGTGAATTTCACGTCACAACTTAAAAATTCACGTCACAACCAATTATTAACGACGTGAATGATCACGTGGCTGGAGAGAGGGTGACAAATAATTTGCGACGTAATTTTTATGTCACTAAGTTTTGACGTGAAAATCACGCCGCAACATATTTTATAGGAATATCTGCTTTTGCAGGAAAAGTAGGTGGACAGTGTAAAAGTGGCTTTATTTGTCACGTGATTTTCACGTCACAAACTAGTGACGTGAAAATCACGTCACTTAATCCTAAACGTATAACATATATTTTACTACAGCTTTTACTTTATATGCTAAGTTACGACGTGATTTTCACGTCACAACTTGTGACGTGAAATTCACGTCGCTAATGTTTTTTTTAATTAAAATTTAATAATTAGCTTTATTTTTCTTTATATAACTAATTAAATTAATAATATTAATTAATAAATTCAATATAATAAATTAAATTAATAACTTTAACATATAATAAATTCAATATATAATAAATTAAATTAATAAATTCAATATGTAATAAATTAAATTAATAAATTTATTATATAATAAATTCAATATTTAATAAATTCTATATATAATAAATTTGATATATTAAATTTAGTATAATAAAATTAATAAACTAAAATTATAAATTTAAGAACTAATTAATTAGTATGGTACACAAATTCAAACGTGAATAAATAAATAAAAATTTAAGTTTACGGATCATCTTGGTTGGTATAATTGTCAATGTCAAAATCATCCTCGCTTTCGTCATCCTCCGGCTCTTGACCACGAAAGTTTTGATTTCCACCAAACTATTGCATAAATTATCGCATTTGTTGCTCCATATCAGTCTTCCTCTTTGCCATGACCTCCATTTGTCGTTGTTGATCTTGTCTCATTGCCTCCATTTGGGCTTTCATTGTCGCCTCACGTTGCGCTGACTCGTGTCTCGCCTCATTTAACGTCAATTGTTTTACCATTTCAAGTTGTTCCGGTGTCAAATTTGGTTGACGTGACTCCCTTCCCCATCTATAACTCTTTGAAATAGAGTTTTATCCCCACTTCTCAAGGAGTCCGCCAAATTTCCACCACCAAAAAAACAACCGTTAGGGCCTTTTCCACCAATGACTTGATCCCAAATATAAAAATCCGTATTTGGATGAAGCGGCTCTCCCTTTCCCGGAGTATATTGAGGATTATGAATCAAAAAATTTGGAGCAATGTCTGATAATCCTCCTATACATTCAATAAAAAAATTAAGTTAAATATTTAATAAATTAAATTAAATTAAATTAAATCAAATTAAATTATATTAAAAAAGTTGCCACGTGATTTTTACGTCACGACTTATCAATTTTCACATGATTTTCACGTCACGATTTATCAGTTGCCACGTGATAATCACGACACAAAATTGTCATTAAATAAAAAAAAATAAACAACAGCTTAAATTAAATAACTTACAAAGGATTTTAGAGTGCGTTCGTCAATAAAATCTCTGGTTTTCTTTGTTCGAGTCTTTTTAACCAACTCAATCATCAATGGAGGTCTCCCCAAATTCTTGGTCTAATTAATAGTAAAATTAACATTACTTAAAAAATATATTATGAATCAAAATATAAATTTAAAAAGTGATAATATTTACCATGCGTCGAACATGCTCTGCGGTACTTATACTTCCAACTGCATTAACACAACCCCCTTTTTCAGATGCCCTCATCTTCTTAAAATTTTCAGATTTAGCCCAAAATTCGGGTGACTCCCAATATTTAAGAAGTTCCTCAAAAACCTCTTTCCCTATCCAATTGGGACGAATACCCTGAAGTTCCCATCGCTCTCTAACACGCCGCATTATGTTAGAAAGTCGTCTTGAGGTTCCGCCATAATAATTTTTTTTATCATCTTCTCGTTCAATGGGTTCCGCACATATTTTTCTTGCAAAATTGTATGACATTAAAATGAATAGTTAGATAATTATAATGAAAAATTCATTTAAATAACAATAACTAAAAAATAAACTAATTATACCTTAAATTTGTTAAACCAAACTTCTTTATTTTTTACATCTCTAAAGGTCTTCCAAAATTGTTTATACATCTGCTGAATTATATAATTTATAACCTTGGCAGCAGTCCAACTTGGCGAGAAACTAAACAACAATAATTTGAATTAGCAATATTAAATATAAATTTATATTAAAAATGAAAATGTATTCTTAAATAAAAATTTATAAATAAGAAACTTACGAGTTTCCTTCCGGCCAAATCCAAAATCTCCCGTCAATGACATGAGTCTCACTCGGATCATCATTCCCTCGAAGATCATTTCCATCTAACACATCATCATCCCCATCCACATGATCATCATCATTATTTGGGTGCGCATGATCATCCTCACGTGTAGGTACATGTGAGGGATGTGGGGTGCGGGATCCTCTAGTCTGTGTGGGGTGTGGAGTGCTGGATCCTCCAGTCTCTGTGGAATGTGGGGTGCTGGATCCTCCAGTCTGTTAGAAAGATGAGAGCATCTGTATGGGATGTGGGGTGCGGGATCCTCTAGTCATTTGGAAGGATGAGGGAATCTGTGTGGGATGTGGGGTGTTGGATCCTCCAGTCTGCTAGAAGGATGAGGGCATCTGTGTGGGATGTGGAAAACTTGGTCCTCCAAAATGCTGGAAGGATGAGGGCATCTGGGTCTGCGGGAAAAGAAAAATAGGTGGCCTAACAAAAGATGGTACCCCATACGGGCTAATAAAAGAAGAACTCCCAGATGGAAATGGCATACTCTGAGAGGAGATTAATGACACAAAAGGCTGAGTACTGGCCATGGACATAGGATCGACCTGACTCTGCGGGGGAGGACATGTGGCCGACTGAGGTGCCTCACATGTTACTAACCTCGGGCGTTGGGACTTTTTACCACTATCCTTACTCTTATTAGTTCGAGGTGGCATTTTACCTATTTATATAGAATACACAGTTAATATATATTCATAAACAAAAATACTAAATTTGAAAAATACATTCTCTTCAATACATATTCATTAACATATTCAATAGATGATTCATTATTCTCATCAATATATATTCATTAACACATTCAATAAATATTTCATTATTCTAAATCTGCATGCTCGTCATTTATATCATTCTCATCATCTGATGTGATATTGTCCTCAGATCCAAACTCTTCATCATGCTCTTCGTCCATATTATTATCAACCAACAATATAGACGCATCAACTTGATGACCCTCAACTGTTGTATCAGACAAACTTTTAATTTTTTCATCTGCAATCACATCATTAATTTGCTTAACTTCATCAAATTGGTAAGCAACATCTTCCACTAGATCGCCAGTTTGAATATGACCCAGCGGTTTTGTTTTTATTACAACACACCATCCTCGTTTACGTGGTACAAGTGTAGGATAAGGAACATAATAAACTTGCCTAACAATATGTGACATTATGAAAGGGTCATACTCTTTGTACCTCCAATCCATTTGAATCTCAACAGTACCATATGACTTATCTATTTTTGTGCCTCTAGTTGGATCATACCATTCACAATAAAACAAGACAACTTTATTTTCTGAGTCCAAGTAATTGTATACCAACTCATAGATATGTTTAACAAAGCCATAGAAGTCATCTTCACCGCCATCTGTAACTCCTTTTACAAACACACCACTGTTTATGGTTTTTTTTCCTTCAGTCCATGTCTCAGTGTGGAATTTATATCCGCTCAGGAAGTATGTGTGCCATTCATTTGCGCTTTGAACAGGACCTTCAGACAAGTTTCTCAAATGGAGTATTTCTGGAGTCAGTGCAACAATGTTAGACAATCTCTCCTTGAACCATGTTGGAAATTGAGCATGGATGACACCGAATATTAATTGGACATCGGCACTATGAAAATAGGCGATGTTAAATTCCCTAAAAAGAAACACACTATAAGTTTCAAGATAATAATTTTTATATTTACTCAAGATATGGTTTAACTTCAAGGCAATTGATCAAGACATGGACATGTGCGGATTGCATTTCTTTTTGGGTCAACCAATGCACACCCTTCTTTCCAGAGGGAAAACCTGGAAGCCCGAAGACTAATAAGGTGAATTGACCCCTCTTGTTGACATTTACAGGATTCTGTTTGATTCTAGGAGTTAACATCAAGTGATTGAAATAATGGCTGCAAAAATGTGATGTTTCCCTATGCAAGTAAT